CTATCATGTGATATCATTTAATATCAGCTGGATAGTTTCTAGATGTTATCTACACAACTTACCTTCTGGTTATTCAACATCGCTGTGAAAAACCACCATGGTTTTGGTCGGATCACCATAACTCAGCTATAATTCTATGCGCCATTTGCCCTCCAGTTCGCAAGCTTGTTCCCAAAGTGCCAGAGGGATCCAGTATAACTTGTACTTAAAATTCAAGTAGAATTTCCCGAGATCTCCCACTTCAATCAGTATTCTTTGGCCCAATTTTTACGGAGGTCAGCTGAGCCAAAGGTCCGCGGATGTGCCGAAGCATCCCCAGGTTCCATCTTTGGGGCGAACCGGACTGGGATCCACTTAGCCCTGACAAAAACACAAAAACAGGCCAAAAATAAATATGATAGGTACCTCCAATTTAGGTTCCCGATATAAGCAACAAGAATCGTATGATGGGGATATACTGGATATCTACTGGATATATGTATATATAATCATAAATATATATATATACATATATGGGTATATAATGGGATACCATGGAATTTGTAGTTGACCTCACCAGTTGTTAAAGTACCAGAGGGTATCCTTAAAGCCTCCATATATAATATATGTCCACATATTTGTACATATGTATATGATTATATCGATATAAGAAAACACATCATACCCCATAAAATAAATCGAAACAAATTCGTGTGACATATCCTCTGGTGCAGTACTTTAACAAAGCTATGAGAAATAGCCAATTTACTTTGATGATTTTGAGAATTGTTCTTTGAACAGGTAAGTCATAATAATACCTGATTACTTACCTATGATTTGATGATTTACTTGAATGACTTACCATCTTAAAGTTACTTTGTTCATTTGGTTCATTTACTATTGATGGTCAACTAATTTCATCTAAGTAACTTGACCAGGTATAGGTGGTCAACTATTTTACTTCCCACTTACTTTGATGAACAACACCTCTGGTCAATGACTAAGTCTAGTAAAATGGGAATCAAGAACCGGTTTTCCGGGACCCGTTGAGCCGTGGGCCACACGGCTGGTGCGTTGTTAGAGGACCAGGGATTGTAACATGTTCCATGGTTGTAATCCAACTACACATTGATTCATAGATATCAAAGATACCCTCTGGTACTGACTAACAGTTTGCTATTGAACATGGCCCAGTCGAAATAGTGAGTTTTCCCATTCATAGCATGGTGGATCTTTCCATAGTTTTTTATGTAAACGTTTACCAGAGGGTAAACCTCCATTTTCCTATGGTTTTCCTATGGTAGGATTCTATAAGATCTGCAGCATCTAATTTGGTCTCACTGAAGATTTGTCCGAAGATAAAACCCTAAGCATCAGCCTTTCCTCCCCAAAGGGTTTCGTATCCCTACTTAATATCCCATTATATATTCCCATTTATTGTTGGTAATATCATATGAAATATCCCAGTAATTGATGATTATATATATATATATCCATATAGCCCTTAAATTAACAACATCTACTTAGGTTACCCTCCTATGAAATAATATGGATGTGGTATTTACCCACAAGAATGTAGATCACGTTCTGAGTGGGAAACCATGGGCTTTCCACATCCATGTGATCCTACATGGAGTACATCCCACTTAGTACGTGGTTATAGCCCTGGTTAATAATTAGAAGGCCCCCCTAGTGATAAGTTGCTTTATAACCCCATCTAAATATAGTTGTGAGTATCAGACACCATTGTTATTCTAGTATGTTATAGTTATAAATTATAAGTATCACAAACCATAGTGAAATTGGAGTTATGTAAACCTCCGACTTAGCCATCGTAAATCAGCTATAACTTTGATCGTCCCAGTATCCCATTTTTGTTGCTTCATGTTCAAAAACCACCATAAACCAGCTATATCCTATTAAAAACACCATAAATCAGCTCAAAAAAACACCATAAATCAGACAAATCACACAAAAATTCCCCATCTTTTGAACATTTTGCCAAGTTCACCATTTTCCCAGCCTTTTCCCAGGCTAAAACCGGAGTTCCCATGGAGTTTCCACGGAGTTCCCATGGAGCCTCTTCGGCCTCGCCTTCAGCCCGGTGGTCGCGGTCACCACGGCGATCCACCGGCGCTTCCAACGGCGGCTCGGTGCCCGGCTCGGTGCCCGGCCGGGGCTTGGTGAGGCCATGCAGCCCACGGGACCCATGGAGCCTGGCTGAATGATACATAAATATATATAGCCATGGAAAATCCCTTATAAATGGAGGTATTAATGGGAATATCATCCATTAATGGGAATATATAAAAGTATCATAGATATATAGCTATTTGATATATATATATATACACAAAAAGAGTAGATCTACTCTATAGCTAAGTTGGTTTATCTACAAATCTACTAAAATCCAATAATATATTTATAAATCATCATAAATCCAATCATTTGATCCATACACCTAGAAATGTTGATCATTCTCCATACACCATACAATGTGAGGCCCCCGTTCGATAGTGTTCAGTTGGTGCCAATAACTCCAATTTCACTATGGTTTATGGTACTTATAACTATAGTTACTGGGGCGAATCTATACCAACTTATAACTGGGGGGGCACATTTCTAGGTATATGGATAAAATTATTGGATTTAAGTAGATTTATAAATATATGATTGGATTTTAGTAGATTTGTAGATTTATATGGATTACCAATTTCATTTTTTTGAGATTTCTGGACGATATATGGATGTATGAATTTTTGAAGCCACAAACAATTGGAATCCTTAAGCGTCAGAAAGTGTGATTTGACCACAAAAATGATCATGTTGAGTCCCCCAAAATGGAGATTGTAAATAATGTTGTCTGACCAATAGTGATATCTTGTCAATAGTAGAAACATTTTTCCGCAACTCCAATTTTTCTCCAATACTAAAAGTCAATTAGCTCTATTTACTTTTAGTATTGCCAAAAGAGTCATGTTCAGACCTTGTCCAGAGGGCATGGCCAATAGTGGACCCAACATGGCAATAGTGGAAACTTTCTTCCCAACTCCAATTTTTCCTCCAATACTAAAGGTCAATTAGCTCCATTTACTTTTTTACTTTCAGTATTGCCAAAAGAGTCAAGTAAAGCAAATCCTTTTCAAAGCAGCCTTCACTTTTGATTAGCAAAAGCTTAGATTCCAGAAATCTGATCCAATTACCAAACAGCTGATTTCCTTATAAACCCCTTATTAAAAAAAGCAAGAAAACAGGTCCACAAAGGGTACCCCCTTTGCAAGCCCCAGAATAGCAATAACAAACCTGCACCAGGCATGGCAATAGTGGATTTTTTTTTCCGCAACTCCAATTTTGTTGTCCTCCTTCTCCTTCTCCATCTTCTCCTTCTTCTCCTCCTCCGCCTCCTCGTCCTCCTCCTTCGCCTCCACCACCTCTGCCCCCACTTCCATGTCCACTTCCGCCTTGCCAACTCTTCGCCAATCTCTCAGAAACCCAACCAAATCCATTCATAATCTATCAGAAACCCAACAAAACCATGGAGAATCTATCAGATACATATCATGATCCCAGCTATAGATTCCCAAAAATTATTATAGGAAGGTTGACCCCCCCCCTAAAATAAATAAAAAAAACAAATTAGGGGGGGGAATTACTATTAGGCAGCCAACATTAGTGAACACAGAGATTCAATCACTCAAATTGGTAATTGAAGCACACAGTTGATGATATGACCAACAAAACTGTCGGGGTTGAACGACGAAAGCTGAGTCTGTAGCAAAACAAGATACAGTTTCTGGTCCGAAGTTTCAGTCAAGCCAAAGAATGGTGCCCCCTAGTTGGGTTAGTTGGTTTATAAACCCAGCTAAGGATAGATACATCTACCACAAACCCTATGGTACACCACCTTGCAGTCCGTTACAAGTTACCATTTGGCATTCTCAACTCAACCATCGATGCCTGGTCCAAGAGGAAGACTGCCATGGGGAGCGGCAGCAAGCATTGGCCAGATTTCCTGATTATAAGTGTTTGCCTTATTTGCAACTTGCAACATCTGGCCACTTACAGTGGTGGGGATATAATGGGATTTATTTATATACATAGATGTATATATATATATGCATGCATGCATACATATATATATATATAATTATATATATATGTATTGGCCATATGAATGGGATATACTGGGGCTATTGCGATAATATTCTATACAATTCCAATGATATTTATTTGTGCTCGTTTCCCTTACTTCTCATGTATGAGATCGTGTCGTGATTCGCCTGAGCCAAATCAGTGAACGTGATTCAAATGCTCCAACCACATGGAAGTGCGGTCGGGGTGGGTTTTGAATAACGATATAACCAAGATAATGATACCCCCCGTACCTTGGGATTTTTGGGATTTTGGATATAACCCCATAATCATGGTACTACCTACCATTGTGGGCTATCCTCATTTGTTGAACAAGTCCATTTGGAGACTCCTATGCCAACATGATTCTACACAATGACTTCCCATGTGGTCATCCCCATCAGTCTGCCTCAGCATGGTCATAGGTGACCAGTGTCAAACAATGTCAGACACCTATTGGGCAAATCCCTGCTACTGTTGGATTGTTTTATGAGGAATTCTACACTGGATTATAGGGGACAATCATGGAACAACTGGGGGATCTGAAACTGTTCAGATATCTTTCAAATTCCGCTAAACAATTCCACCTTTCCAGCGGAAAAACACCATAAAAAAACCTACCCGGCATCAAGGTTTACACAAATCATTGGGGGCCAAATGCCATGTGATTGTAACAATTACCCTCTGGTAAATTAACATAGACCCTGAAAATCACATTTTTTTAGAGGAAACTAATCTTCCAACCCCTATCTACCAGGGTCTATGTTAATTTACTGGAGGGTACAGATCAAAAAAAAATGGGTATTGGGAGGCCAAACCCTATTTATAGGGAAAGCTATGGGAAATCTATAGGGAAATCCATGGGAAACATGGGAGCAAAACACGCCCAGTTTTCAGCGGGCGACTCGCAACTCAGCGGCGAAGTTGGGACGCCTCGGAAGCGATGAGAAACCAGCATTGGAAAACCGTGATGAGAAACCTCCAAGAAAATGGATAGAAACCTCCGAAACCATTATAGATATAGTAATTGTAGAAAACCATGAAATAATATATATATATAGTATATATATACAGTGTTTTGTTCCATTTTTCCGGAGCTTTCTATTCTATATGTTGAAAATTATTCAAACATCGTTTGAACAAATACAATTGCAGATATCAAAAGGATATCTTGGTATCCATGTTTTTTGGGATGTCCTGTTCCCTGCATATAATTTTGCTCAATTCAATTCTTTGGCTGGTTTACCGCTGTTTTCGAGATTCATATATAGTTATATATATATACATACATATCATATTGATACAAGGTCGCCAATTCAAAGTGGACTAAGGGCCCAAGAAGCATGATGCGGGGAATAGGGAATCTGTACCCTCCGGTAATCAAGCAACACGGCACATGGAAATCCAAAAAACAAGTGGATTCCAATCAATGGGAAAATCATCTATACATGATATTTTTTCCAGCAAGCCATGTTGGCTCATTAGAGGCTATGTAATTTTACGTTCCCCCACTACAAGTTGGACAACGAGGAGCTACAGGACCTCACCGGGACAGGCCAGATTGGACTTGTTGCGGCTTCTTCAAAATGCTGCTGCCCCTTACATATATATATATATAGTGTGTGTGTGTGTGTGTTGCATATATGTATCTTATAAAATAAATAAATTATACATAATATATAATTAAAAAATATAGATACAATATAGTACAATATCATATAATATCATATCGTATAGTGTAATGTAGTATAATATAATATAATATAATATAATATAATATAACTTAATATAATGTAATATAACTTAATATAATATAACTTAATATAATATAACTTAATATAACATAACACACACATATATATCATATATTATATATATATATATTATATTACATATATATGATATTATGTATACACATACATTGTATACACAGTAGTGATGTATCATATATCACCAACCAGTTTGTTTTAATGACATAGCAGCTACGAGGCCATGACCAGCAGCTGCAGGATTTGATTCGTGGCATCATCCTGATCGGTGCTGTCGATCGGATTTACCATCTGGTTATGACTAACATAGCCGCTGGGAAAATCCCAAGCATAAATGGAGGTTGAGTTCGCAGGGAAAATCATCTATATATAAATGGGCCATCTATACCATGGCTATGTTAGTCATAACCAGATGAGGAAAAATTCCCATCGAAATCCCATGGAAAATACCATGGAAAATATTTTCAAAATGCCACATAGCTACGGGAAATCGTTTTTCACATGATCCTGTATTACGGATGAAAAAAAGATGATGAAGTGCCTTCTTAAATATGGTGATGTGAAAAATAGCTATGTTCAATTCACAGAAGCTAGTCCCTCAGGGACCGAATTCAACCAGAAAAGATGGGGCTTTTCCTCAAGATTCCCATCAAATCAACCCAACGAAACTCAAGGTAATTTAAGATGATTTATACGGTCTACTTGTATATAAAAATATAGGGAATCATAAACCAATGATGGTTGATTCAATTGATGTTGCGAAAATGAAGGATTTCACGAAATCAAAATTGCTATCAAGACTGCCAGTCACAGGGAAAAGGGCTGTTCAAAGGTGGACTGGATTTTTTCCTGATCGCCTTAGCAATCGCTATCCTGGTACAACAGCAGCATCAGATCAATGGAATATCCCCATCCTTGTTGAACTCTTAAAATATCAATCAGCTATTGACCCAAGGTATGATTTACCGGATACACATCCTGATTCATAAAGGATGTCTGTTCAATCAAACATTAATCTTCGAATCTTACTAGGTGAGGCGCCCTACTGACTGACTGAACTTGGTTAACTTGGAAAAGGGGGATATATCTATAGTATTTATGGGGTTTATACCTCAACTATAAGTGGAAAGCCTCACCTGAAAAGTTTGGCAATTTTGTCATGATTCCAAATATATAAGGTGGCACCCCCTAGGAATAAACACGTTCAAAAAAACATCGAAGGAACTAGTTATTTCATCGCCATAAACCCTACAGTGCAATATATGAGTCAACTGTTTATCAACTTGTCACGATTCCATAAATCGAGGATTAAAATCCTCATCCTAACATTTGTTAAATCCGATAAAAAATCTCAATTGTTTGTTGGTTTTCCATCCCATGACATCCTCATTTGGTTGGTTCAAGCCAAATGGAAATCACCCCATTGTTTCTTGGTCACCCCGCCTCCTTAGGAGACCTGGATTGATCCATTTTCACATGGAGAATATCATGGGAATATCATGACGAAGTATTTCAATGGCACTATATTAATGATGGATATAAGATTATGGAGTATAATGGATATCATTGAATTATATAGGTTAATGGAATTATATCAATAGTAGTAATAAGTAAATAATTATCATATCAATAATGGATATTCACAAATATGTTCAATAATGGATATTCTATATCATTTCATGGAATATTTTCAAGAATGGATAGTCAATATCATCCACAAATAATCCTTTCAATGGAATACAAAATGGTAAATAGAAAAAGGATGAATAAGGGCATATCATCAGACCATTATGGGTGTGGGAATCAAATGGGAATATCATGAGAATAGCTATTCATCTGGAATACCCCTTAAATGGGAATTCCTTTTTTTGAATTTCACCACCAATACATGTGTAATCATGTGTATATAATGGGACTATCAATCATCAATCTGGATCAATAGGAATAACATGGAAAATTTGATCCCCTCTGATAATAGTATTCCATAGTATTCCTATATATTCCTATGGAATATTAGGATTATTCCCATTTTATCCTACGGATTATTCCTATCAAAATGGGAATCAATAGGAACATTACCCTCTGGTAAATTAACATAGACCCTGGTAGATAGGGATTGGAAGACTAGTTTCCATTAAAAATTGGTGATTTTCAGGGTCCAACTGTTTATTTACCAGAGGGTACCATAAAATGGGAATCTGAAAACGACCTATACATGGATCGAATTATACGTGGATCGACAGATGGACACAATTTTTCCCTATGCGAAATGAAACGAAAGGATGTTTTTGTCACGCGATTTTCTTTAGTGAATATGAGATAAATATCCGGAATGGGATGGTAAAAAATCATGATTAATATGAAACAAATACCGCTTGAATATTGTACAAGAATTCACTGTAGAATTTGAGGGGCTCGAATCCAGGGCGGGCGGGCGAAACATATTTTTCAGGTATACCTTAAACACATAGTACTTTAAGAATTTCCGGGGCCCTAGGATTGCCAAATTCTGTAATGAATCTTATTGGGATATGATGTGTGGAGGTTTCGAGGATACGTTTCCCACAGATTTTTTGCGGATTGTTTCGAGGAACCGTTGCGGTGTCTCTCGAAATTCAAAATCGTAATGGGACATCCAATCAAACCTAATGAGTTATTATATATATATAATACATGATATATATATATATATATATACATATTATATGCTGGAGTTGCGGATGACGGGAAACGGGATGCTGATACCTAAGATCAGCGATCAAAAAAGCCTGGGGACGTCTCAAAAAAACCACCTTGTTATTGCTTAATCCCCAAATAAGATACGTATATTCTTATATTCCGTTCTATCTTGTGAAATATTCTTAAGGATACCGAATTTCTTGTTGTCGATCCCGGGTTATACTCCATCATAATAATTCATACCCTCTGGTAAATTAACAGTTCGACCCTGCCAGTCATCGGGTTTGGAAGACTAGTTTCCACTATAAATTGGTCATTTTCAGGGTCTATGTTAATTTGCCAGAGGGTAATATCTACTTATTTGATGTTGATATCCGCATTTCTCGGTTCAATTCCCATGTTCTGCAAAAAAAAAACATCACAATCTGCAGTGAAATTTCACCTGCAATATCCCCATCATTTAAGCAGCTTTAGCATTTTACCATATCATGTCTTACTTAAATCGCAATTTTCGTTGCTAAATTCCACTTTTGAGGGTGAAATCAGTGAAATCCCTGTTTTTACACCACAATTGATGGCCATCTCAGCTGCATACGATGAAGCTCCAGCTCCGACGCTGGAAACGTCCGGCTGGACCTCTGGCCGAAATTTAGGCTCCGTGGTTTTCGTCACACAAGGTGCCTTTGTAGATGATTTACCCTCTGGTAATTTAACGTAGCTATTGAAAATGGCCATTAATAGTGGATTTTCCCATTAAAAATGGTGATTTTCCATAGCTATGTTAGTTTACCAGAGGGTAAACTAATAAGAAGGCTGATTTCCCCAGCAAAAATGGTGATTTAACAATTCTGAGACAGAATTGGATACTTGCTGAAAAATATGGATGGCTGTATATGACTATGGATAGATACGGATAAATATTGATAAACCTGGACAACTGCGGATACACCGTGATAGACCTGTATGTATATATATATATACACATATTACCACTAGTTCTCTTGCCTACGATTCTACATAGGGTCTCTTCTACTCTTCCCTTCTACTGTTATCTCTTCTCTGTGTGACTCAAACTATTGAGAAATTATCTGTAATTCGGAGTTTCTGTCTCAAAAACAGGTGTGACCCTGCAAAGTGCTAGAAATTTCATCCAGAATGACATGTAACATGAACTTCCCAGTGGCACAGCATTTGCGGCACAAGAAGACAATCGCCGCACAAGTTGCCACCCTGACCCTGTACAATGAATCCTTAAAATAAAAATGACCGTATATTGCCGTATATTACCACTTATTCACTTCATATTATCCACTTATTCCCTAATATGATCTAATATTCCCCTCCAGTAAATCAACATAGACCCTCCCAAAATATCGGGACGATTGGTTCGTTTCCACCACGAAAAAAACACGTAATTTTCAAGCCGAAGCATCCGTAAACTGTTTGTGTCAGTACAAGTAGGGAAAACGATGGAACACCAATGTTTATGGGTTCGTCAATTTTGGCCAACTAAATATTGAAGGATCATTTCTGGGTCATGATATTTATGGGTTTTCCAATATTTATTGATCATTCAAATTTCTGGACAAATAAATCTATACTGTACCCTGTACCATTCATAAACCTGGATAACTTATAATAATTCTCCAACCTGAAACAAGGCTATCATGGGGATGATTCCCCTTACTACTATGATTATAGTGAGGGAGAACAGTGAGGTCGTTATAATTTATTAAACTTACTAAACCAGAAAAATGCTAACATGACTGGGGTTTTTGTTGATGGGATCCGTCATGGGATACCCATTTACGTCGTACCAGGCCACCCATTCATAAACCAATATTTTGTTCACCCATAAACCGTCATGGTTTATGAATGGTATTTTCCGTCATGGTTTATGAATGGAAAAAAACAATACCTATGGTTTATGAATGGTATTTTCCTATGGTCTATGAATGGAAAAAACCAATACCCAAAATATTGGCACTGTTGGTATTTTATAGGCACTGTTCATGTCTCAGAGGCTTCACCAGCCGACGTGCCGGTCACGTGCCGACGTGCCGGTCACGTGCCTGGTCCAAGTCTTTCAGCAGCATGCCCATCTCGGCGAGAGGTCAATGGAAAGGTCACAATTTCGTAGGATATAACAGTAGTTAACTGGTAATGAAACCGCTTATGAATAGTATACATATATTACTTAGTTATATATTATATATATATATATATATTATACCTTTTTTTTACCACTTTACCAATAGAACTGGTCAAAACATGAACCGAAAGACCCGGGAATCAATGGTGCTGATGCGAATGGGAAATTGTTTTTTTTACCAACCGAAGTGGGGTTTCAACCAACCATGATTGGGATAGAATGGGATAATACAACATTGAAATCACCAACAAAAGGGGTTGCCATGGGTTGATGGATTGGGAATATGCCAATAATCTCAGATTTGTTGAGAACATCTGGACCTCCAAAAATATTGGATTGCTTACGAAAGCCCCCCCCCACAAAAAAAAAAACATATTCCCTATTGATTTTTCAAATAATGTATTTCCCATTGGGAAAGTAACAACAATCACCTGAAACAGATCAATGTTATATTCGCAGTCAAGACTGTGTTTTCCTGTGATTCTTTCCTAAAAATTCAATGCACTGTCGCAAAACATGAGGGATGAAGGCAATAAGGTCGCATCCGTCAAGTTATTGTTGGCAAAAAAAACATTGGTTGATAAAAATAATGTAAATGTACTACCTTCCAAGCAATCAAATTGGCCATAAGAATCACTGAAAGGGCTGTTATTCCTTGGGATATGGTTTGCATACTTACCCATAAAAATCGTGGTCGAAATGCTGAGATCAATGGGTTTTATCATTCATGGAGATGCGGCTCTCGATGATCAACAAACATACGGCCCTAATGTGACGTTCAAAATGCCAACAAAAAATGGGACATTTACCAATCAGTGTATATATGTATACACATTGTATGTATACAATATATGCACCAATCACTGATCAAAATCGCTGAAACGTTGCTGAATTTTCCTCCGCCTGCTGTTCCTCTTGCCGCTGGCGCGCTTGCTGTGCCCGCAGCCGTTGCAGCTCTTGCATTCGCCTCTTGCGCCGCTAGCGGTCGCAACGGAGTGTCACCGAAGTGACGTGGCGACGGGGCCCGCAACATTTGTTTTTCTGGGGGTGGAGTGTCAGTATGTTTTGGCTGAATAAAAATCCAAAATATGTACAGTATACTCTAAGTATCCATACGCTCAAAAGTGACTCAAAAGGGTTTGGGATTACAACAAACTGGGCACTTTTTGAACAAAAACATTTTATGATTGTCATAGTTGGGTTTCAAAAATAAACCTCATAACCAGCCATTGGCGGTCACCAAACATGTCTCAGCGTGAATTGAACTGTAAAGGTGACAAACTCAAGCAATTTTCACCTGCAGGCCCTCAATCTTATGCTTGGTAAATCACGGTATATCAATGTAAAATCCTAATTTGAGTGGATTTTTGTACATGTAATCACCGTCATTTTTTCTGGTTTCTTGTGCCTGCCCCCCCTGCATTTGCATGGCCTCATGCTTTGTCGTGCCACAAAAGAAGGGTCTGGACCGACCTCGATCTCCTGCGGCATTTTGATCCCATGAACGTGGGCTTCATTGGGCTGGTTTCAGAAAAACATGTACATCAACTATAGTAACCCCCCAAAAAAATGCAGAATAAGTTATCACTAGTTTAGTGGATTTTTACTTTTTTGGGGGGTTACTATATATATATATATATATCGAATGTGTTGGATATATGTGATATTCAATGTGTTTTTCTTACAAAAAACTGCAAGCCAAATCACAAACGCCGCCTCTGCAACCTCAACAACCTCAACGCAACAGTCCCACAAGGCAAAACTAGTTTCCTGTTTAAACCTTTACCATGCCCAGCGAGCCTGGCACCACAACTACGACAAGTAAGGGTTGATTACCCCATGGTGTGGGTGAAATGAACCTTATGCAAAAGAGGCTGCCCACAGCCTGAACTTTCAGTCCTTGCCCCAGGGCAAGGCAGAGAAGCCAGGACTTCCAAGTCCGACAACAAACGGTATTTGCTTCATCACACTCAGACAACGCAAGCCTTGATTACAGGGCACCAAGGCATGTGCCCACGAGGTCGCTCCGTGACGGGCCACTGTTTTCAACTGCTTCCTCCGACCTGTTGAATGCAATTGAGTTGTTTTCCCACTTCCTTTGACCATCTCTTGAACAGTAGTGGCCCACTCCTTAGTTTTATATTCAATGTGTATATATGTGTATCCATATATATATACAAATTGTATACATATATATATATATATTGTGTATATATATATATATTGTGTATATATATATATTGTATACATATATATATATTGTATATATATATATATATTGTATACATATATATATATATATATATTGTATAAGTATATATACATATATTGTATAAGTATATATATATATATTGTATAAGTATATATATATATATATATATTGTATATATATATATATATTGTATATATATATGTTGTGTATATATATATATTGTAAATATATATATATATGTTGATATGTAATATAATTAAATCAAACCCAATCCCAAGAGACACATGTACCGTTAAAACAATGCTGTTTCCATCAAAAATAATACCACCCCAAGAAAACTGCCACATGAAGCTCATATCAACTTGGGATGAGGTGGCTGAGATGGCCTTCCCAAAGTGATTCATCCTGTCCCATCCTTTCCCATCCTTCCCCATCCTTTCCCATCCTTTCCCCCTATTCAACAGTGTTGATGATGCCCAATAGTCTAATAGTGGTTAGTGGTTAGTCATTGCTAATAATCGGTGTAAACGTTGTTACTATACTAATGGTATCCAATGCTAATACGTGTTACTGATAACGGCTAATAGCAATAGTCTAATAATGGCTTGTAGTAGCTAACACCATAATCATGGTTAATAGTGGTTAATAATTAAAATAGTCCAACAATGGCGAATAACAATAGTCTAGTGGTCTATAATGATATTAGTGTTATTAGCATAGCCACTATTAGCCATTAATAAACAACTATGAGCCATTATCATAATAGTAGATAATAGTCTGATAACCATTAGCATTAGTCTGACAACCATTAGTAGCCATTAAACATTACAATAATGGCTAATAGTGGCTAACGCCATATCAATGGCTAAGAGTCGTTAATAGTCTAATGGTCTTGAATATACTAATGCTATCTAATGCTAATAAGTAGATATTGCTAATAGTGGATATAAATAATGTTTAACTAGATTGCTATTATATAACCATCCAACTAACTATTATATCGTAATAATGGCATAGATATCTAGATAATCTATGGTGTTAGTTTATATCTATATATAACTATCAAACTTATAATAGTTATATTTATTATATAACTGCTAACACCATAGATATCTAACTTCCCAATCGCAGGCTACCCACTAGCGGACTAGCGAGGCCCGAAAGCCACCGCGCCTTCTTCAGGCCTTGAAGCGCCTGCTGCACTCGCTCCATGGCCTGATATCGCAAATGAGACGGCTCTAAAGTTCCATAAATGTGTAACTATATGTATATACATATCAGATATGTCTGTGTGTGTTTATTTTTATTTTTTTAAACATATATTTACAGATACTGTATATGTATATATGTATATACCATGTATATACCATGTATATATTCAATATATATATATATATATATATTATGTATATATAATAATGAATATAAATGGTGCTGTATATATGATGTATGATATATGATACATTATGTATACACAAACAAGATCCAAAGAATCACAACTTTTGCAGCCTCATCACAGGCTGTAAGGGCCGCAGCACTCATTGAGGCGTCTCAGCAACGGCGTGTTGGGAATTCGTGTTGGGTCGGAGGAAGCCTGACTGGAAAAACAACAGGTTGAGCAATGTGAAGATGGGAAAGTAGGGTTATAATAGGGTTATAATAGGGTTATAATGGGTTATGAGATTTACAATCTGGTTATTTAACATAGCCATGGAAAATCACCATTTGTTTAAAGGTAAACCATCTATAAATGGTCCATTTTCCATGGCTATGTTAAATAACCAGAGAGTATAAGATGTTATAAGATGTTGTAAGATGGTTGATGCTGAATTTGTGTAAAACCCGCACTATTCCTATGTTGACCCTAACGAAATACGCCTATTATTTTGATTATGTTTTACCCTCTGGTAATTTAACTCATAGCAACGGACAGTTACCATTTGTTAATAGGTAAATCATCCATAAATGGAGCATTTTCGCTATCTTACCGGATGGCACTTTTTTTTACCTTGGGACTACACTTGATCTCCAGGGTGGAGGATAACTTTGTGAAAACATGCTCTTCTTGAAATCAATCAGATGTGCTTGGACTAAATCTGATCAAACAAAATGTGATTTTGGAATACAAGTGCTAAATCTAAATATAACATACACTTTTACTACATCTGAAATTACATACAAGTCAGAGATTGTGCATAATAAGTCTCACTCTATCGACTTATTTGGATATCGTTAGCAACGATCATCTGCCCACTTGGGGATGTTCAGCTTCCCCCATCAGGGGAAAAAATCGTCCCCTGTTTGTCAAGCCTCGTTGCTGGCTATACTGGCGATCTGGTTGGTGGTTGACCTACCCCTCTGAAAAATATTAGTCAGTTGGGGTTACTATTCCCAATATATGGAAAAATAAAATTCATGTTCCAAACCACCAACCAGCGATACATGATACATGACGATACTATGAGTCTCACAGATGCAAATGACAGCGATTCCCAAATCTGATTTAAGGAGATCTTCGGAATTAAGCCATCAAATCCAGAAAACAGTCTGCTTCATTAGTCATTCATTGGGAGTTCGGATGAATTTGCTGTCCCCAAATCCAAGCTTTGGGAGTCATGATGAATTGGCTTCAGTTTTTTCCTACTATGCTGTGGTACCAGTATGTACCAGTCAAACCATGTCAAACTCCAATGGCATAAATCCATATATAATTCCGATGAAATTTCTGGGCCTTTTTTTAAACACGACTTGATCTCCAAGTGAGTCACTTGAGCTTCGTGCCACGCTTGTCAGGATGCAACAAACGCATGATCTGCCGATATCTCGACCTCGGACGGACATCCCGGCAGTCGGCGGTATCGGCAGGGGATGGGCTTTCTGGCTGCGGCGATCACTGAGCGCGGAAATTGTATTCCAGAAACATGGATGCAAATGATTGCTAATGATTGCTAATGCTAATGATATGTGCTCCATTTGATTCTTGTTTTTTAGACATACATTATCCATGAAATGATACCACCAAGACTTGGGGCTAGGAATCAACGAGACCATGATCAGTGGGGAATCCTCCAGAATGATTGATGAATGGGTGGTGAATAAGGCTTTCAATCTGCGATTCATCTCCTGTAGACGGTGCGGTGCTGGTGCAACGAGTGGTCCAGCGTCGTTGCGCTGAGAGACCCCATGCCAGGTGCTTAAGAAAACCTAGCGGTCATGATAATATTTTCGTGTGGGTCAGAATTGGATACCCAAAAAGAGATGGATAGCTAATACTAAATATAGACTTAGACTAAAATCGCATCCATACCCATAATATGTTGTTACATGGCTGCAATTCATCCTTGTTTCCATTTTCTCAGCTGCTTATTTTGGTGAATCCCCACGACCAATCTGGGAACTGGGTTCCACGCTGAACCTGAGAGACCTCCAAGTCACCCTCTTGACCTTGGGAAGAGTTCGGCTCCCATCTGTGAAATTCATCGATGTTACCCCCTGGTTATTTCACATAGCCATGGGAAATGGCCCATAGAAATAGATGGTTTACGGTTTACCTATGAAAAATGGTGATTTTCCATGGCTATGTTAAATAACCAGAGGGTAATTTTAAGCAAGGTATGATCAAAATACAAGATGGTGCTCCCCAGCTATGTTAGTTGGTTTATGTTACACTATCTAAAGGACTAGTTGTTTCATCGCCATAAACCCAACAATGAAAACTCTGTGAACCAAAGCAACTCAGCAAACGAACTGGGGCACCGCCTTGTATGAACCGTTCCCCATTTAGATTCCCTGCTGAGGCCAAGGATTTCCCTATAGTCGTCCACCGCAGCCGCCCTTAGCAGGGTGGGTCTGTCCGATTTAATCGGATAGGTTGGGGATTTCGACAGAGACAATCATGGGATAGCCATGAAGGGGTCATCCCACCATCATGAATCCTTGCAATGGGGATATCAATCCTGTTTCATGGGTTCATGACCATCCCCCAACATGGGTATCAGATCCAAGTTTCGACCATGTCACATATCTTTATGTGAAAGGGATGGAACAAGATGGACTCTGCGAAGCCTCTCCGCTGTTTGTCAAACTCCATTTTTTTGGGATATCTATCGATTGTTGTATATCTGGAGATATAATGGAGTTGTTATAACTATATACTTAATAATAGTTAATAATAATGGTGATATATGGAATATGATTATATAATTGGGATTTATCATAGTACTGGAAAATTACTATCTGGAAAAAAAAACCTTCAGATTTTACGTTGGTTGGGACATGAATAGTGCCACTGCCATGTATTCTTTTTGTCCAACGCTGGGAACCTCAGATTTTAACTCCAATCATAAATCCCAATTATATCATCATTATGTACATGTATTATCCCATGATATTAACCTATCAAGAAGAAAAAACACTACAACCCCCAATTACATGATCATTATATTCCAACTAAGATCCCATGTCTCTTCACCAAACATCGAGATTCAACATGTGAAAAAAATGGATCCCAAGTTGTGCAACTTATCTTCACCAAAGTTGTTCCACCCAAATTCACTCATTTCTTGGGGTTATATAAAA